TGAGATATCAAGGAGTATGATACATGACTTAAATGTCCATGGAAGGTTCTGGGCAGAGGCTATGAAGACAACTGCATATGTCATTAATCGAATTCCTCAACAAGGTTTAGAGTATGTGTCACCAGTTGAAAAGCTCTTGAACATGAATCCAAATGTGAGTCATGTACGAGTTTTTGGATGTGTTTGCTATGTTTTTATCCCAGGTCATCTCCCCCACAAGATAGAAAAGAAAGTTGTCAGTTGCATCTTCGTGGGATATGACCAAGAGAGAAAAGGTTGGAGATGTTGTGATCCAACCAGCGGTAAATGTTATGTTTCAAGGAATGTCATTTTTGATGAAACATCCTCCTAGTGGTCAACGAACCGTGAAACTTTTCAAGACTCATAAACATTGAAAGAGAATCTAGATTAATCTAAGGTTAATCTTAACCCGGATGAAAGTGAAACAGTGGTTGAATAAGAAAATATTGAAGTCCGTGCACAACAACCTTGGCTATCAGACGTATTCCATTGTGTGGAGGCAAATGACAAGATCCATTAAGGCGATCATCTAGAATAAGAAAAACAAATCCACGTTATGCTAATGTATAACGCCCACAGCTTCGGGCTAGTCAATTTAGAGACGATAAGCGTCAAAAATGAGTTTTTAATAGAAGATTATTTAGAATAAATAATCTTCACCAAGTTATAGTATATTTCACAAGGGTTCCGTACATATAAAGAACGCTGAAATCCGAGTTATAACGAAGAAGTTATGACATGTTGAAGTTTTACGGCAAACACGACACGACACGGCACCGGGAATCGTAAAAAGTGATTTTTTGATAAACTACTTTTTAGCCTTAAAGATCTAAATGAAAGTTGTAGTATACGTTAAACCGAGAACATACAAAAAAAGAACGCCCAAATCTGACTTCGTATGAGGAGATTATGATTTTTCTAAGATTTGGCATAGCAGTGTACAACCCGAAATTCGAATTTTAGATCGAGCGGTTTTTGGCCAATGCAACCTAAATGAGAATTTAAGATCTCATTATTATTAGCGCAATGATAAAAAGACAGATGAAAATGAATTCCGTATGTAGAAGTTATGAATTCTACACGGTTATTTAACAGAGTCAAAAGGAGAGTTGTAGATCTTGTCAATACCTACGTATGGATATAAAGAAATTCAAAAAACAAAGCTCGTATGCGAAAGTTACAGAGTTTAGAAGTCCGTATGGTGCTGCTGCGAAAAGGGTGACGTGGCTGAATCTGGGTTAAGGCTTTCTCCCCACGCATTGCCACCAGAGGGTGACATGTTGCACCTACTCGACGAGTTGGAAGCCCGACTCGACGAGTAGGGAATTTTTTCATTCTATAAATAAGGGCATAAACCCCCTCCATTGTTCACACCTTTCCCATCCTTTTTTTCTCTCTACACACTCTCTAAAACCCCCAAAACCCCTCCTAAAGCCCTAGTAGCCTCAAGGCACTAGAGGAAACCCCGGAGCGCCCGACGTCTTCAAGAATAAGAGCTTTTGGCTCTGAAAATCTACTCCAGCGAAGCCCGGTTTTTAAGAAAACCCTCGGTAAGTGAGTTACGCTTACCCTACTTTAAGTATAACTTATGTTTAAGTTCATTATCGTTATTATGAACTTATAAACAATATTTATCAGTGATTCCAAGTCGTTATACTGATTGATCTACTTACAGGGATGATGTCTAGGATGTGATTTAGTGAGGTGTTTAAAGTGGGATTTTCAAACAGTATACTTCGTATACCAAACGGAACCTACCTCCAATATGATCCTACCTGGTTGTTCCTTACTTGATAGATCTTGAGGTAGACTTTGATTTAATGATGAATCTAGACTAATAATTAGTCGCAATAAATATTAGACTAACATTTAGCAATAATAATGCTAGGTTTCGTCGAAGGAAAATAGAATCGTTAGAAGCGAAGCGCTGCCCGAGTTTGGAATCATCACTTTAACAAGTGAGTGCATAGTCCATTTCATGAACATGATTTTAATACATGTATTGATTGAAGTATTAAATATATGTTTATGTGCGAGTTATTTGATGTTGCTTGAAATACGTGTTAAAGAACATACCTGATTATATATGATGATTTAGAATAAAGAGTGAACCTAAATTAATTATGAGGAATGTTGGGTAGTACCTTTTTACGAGTACGAGTGAGTTATACTCACAAAATAGAACTTTAATATATGTCATTGATCGGGAGCATGGACTAGACATAGTCATTGTACCTAGTCCAAAAGTATGGATTGAACATAGTCAAAAGTCATTAATCTGGGAGTATGGATTAAGATATAGTCAGTTGTCCTTAGTCTGGGAGTATGGAAGACATAGTTATCCGCCATTAATCCGGGAGTATGGATTTAGACGTTGACACTTGTTCCTAATCCGAGAGTATGGAATGGGCACAATTAATGATTCGAGAACATGGAATAGATCTGGGAGTAAGAGGTAAAATTTAAGGTCCGAGAGTATGGATAGTCTCGTTGTGAGGATTGACGAGGTGGGGTAAGAGTTGATTATAAATATGGGGAAATTGTATATTTTGTGAATTCTAAATTATATATATATGATATAACATTGTGGTATTGAAATCCCTATCTATATTTTGTGAGTTCTAAATTATATATATATATATATATATATATATATATATATATATATATATATATATATATATATATATATATATATATATATATATATGATATAACATTACGGGATTGTCATTTTATCTTTATGTAGTATTTTGTTTTGCACTTCAGCTATTTACCTTTTTCTTATTTAGCGGTAGAAGTTAGTTGAGGTTATTTTTTCCCTACTATATAAATGATGTTTTCTTTAATAATAATCATTGTTACTCAGAGTAAGCACAAGTTTTAAAGATGAGTGATGTTTAAACATAAAAAATCATTGTTACTCAAATTAAGCGCACAATTTTGTTTCATTTTAATACAAATAATTTTATTAACATACGTTGAATGTATGCAAGATTCATATGTTTTTGTTGATGATTCACATAAATTTGAACACATGTGTACAAATTATTGAAACAACTTTTTGTGGTAGTTCTGTTATTTGAAATAAAGGTTTATTCATTTGCATTAAAGTTTTATTCAAATAAATAATTCAGGTTTGAACAATGTACCTTTTATTTATTTTATTGTTTCAGTATTTGCCTTGGAATTGTAGGCAAATATGACCAAATAAATAAGTTTCTAAATTTCTAAATTTATTCAAGAAACATGGAAATGGTATGTTTTAAAAATCATAGAATATTAATCACGAATAATAACTTACAATAAATATTTATATAATGTTTCTAAATTTCTAAATTTGTTTGATAAAGAAACATAAAAAATCACATGTTTTAATAATCACATAATATTAACCATAGATAAATCTTTTCCAAAATATCTATTTATCTACTTATCTTAATAAACGAAACCTAAAATGTTAAATGTTATTTTTTCTAACTTGTCTCTTTGACACACGTGACATTTATATATGATATCTATTTGTTTAAAATCCTATTAAATATCTCATATTTAATAATCAGGGATACATTCCTCTAATTATCTTATTTATTATTATTTTTTGTCTATACAATAGTTTTAAACATAAACATCGTGGTTTCTACGGGTTATAACCTAGTTTTCAAATATAACTGTTTCTTTTTTAAAATTTTAAAATTTAAACACTTTATCTTTCACTATAAATAACAACATCAATCTTTATTCTTCACTACATTCAAAACTTTTCCATTCTACTCTCCTAATCTTTTTATTTTCCATCTTCTTCAAAACTTTCTAACTAAAAATATCTTGTGTTTGGTCACCTAGAGATCTTACTAGCTCGTTCATGAGTTGATGTAACAGAAGGCTAAATCAACATTAACCTCCCTTCGACTACTTTTTAGAGGAGAATAGCCGAAAAATATGACCACCAAGCCACTCTACCTCGGAATAAAGAGCAAATATTCTCCAAATGGAGACATGCAAACACGATTTCAATTCAGTTTAACAATCTGTTTCGTAGAGTGAGGCATGAAGCCGAGCATGATAAAAATGAAAATACTTTGTTAGTGAATGCTCTTGAGGCTCACCGTGTAGAAATTGACAAACATTTCCGATTTGTTAAGTTTTGACAAATTATAAGACAATACCCCAAATGACGTCAAATTTAAGTTCGTTGTCTTCTAATTTTTAGTGGGTCGTGTGTTTAAATTTGTAGTGGTGTTGTGTGTCAGTTTAATTTCAAATGTGCTGAAGTGTGGCAAATCTGATGTGATGCTTACATATGTGACGCTTACATGGACCATGACAAATAGCGATAGGTTTATGTGGACCCCACAACGTCATGGGGCTGTTGTCCCTACGTCATATGTATACCATAATTTAATATAAACCATCGTGGTTATCAAGATAATAAATAATATAATGTAAAAAAGTAAACCAAATCTTCTGAATTTTTAAATTAATATACTAGACCATAGACCCATAATAGTTGAAGACAAAAAGATTATATTAAATATTAAGATTGTATAACCTTAATCCAATATCATATCATTGTTGTAGATCCACCCATATGCAAGTTGATGTACGTATATAATACAGATATGCATGGTAAACATATTATACTAATTACTAAACATGGTTTCAGACTTTCATATTCAGCAGATCTTTACAACTTTTAACTCATTAGTCTAAATACTTTATATAAATTTCGAAAACAGCATACTAGAACAAGACAAACGTAGTATAGATTTTGTTCTTTTGGTCTAGCTAGTGATGATAAAGTAACACATCAGAAAAGCTATAATATACAAATATAGTAATATATACCACGTTATGTTTATTTTATTCTTGTTACCTTTTGCATTAACATAACAATTAAGCAAATAATCAAGTTCAACGTACTAAAACACGAACTATAATCATAATCATAATCATAATAATAATCCAATTCCCATAATTTACACATAAAACACTTGTCCAACGTTCAAAAGGCTCTCATGAGGAACATTAAATATGACACTATGCTCTCTGCACATCTTCCTCAAAAACGCATACACATAATCTATACAAATCTTTTTATAAAAAGGCGAATCCCTTCTTGCTCTCACTACAGTATTCCCCATAATATGCACAACTCCAGCATCCCTACAACTTGTCAAAAACTCCATTTCATCAACTTCTGTATGACTACTCACTTGTCCAGATGACATTACAGTAGAACTATTAACATTCACAGGAACAATTGAGTCACACGATGATATCGTGAGGTCCACCACAGAGGAAAACGTGTTCATACTATTTTCAGGTAGCAGAAACTCCTTTGACCTTTGACTTTGAGTTTGATTTTGACCTTGTGTTTGACCGTATAGACTATACTCATCCGAATCACTTCCACCTTCCATCATCGACTCGAGTCTTACAAACATGAACAAATTATCGAAAACTTTCTTCTCAAATTCATCGTCTTTTTTATGCAAATCTTTATATCCATACCTTGCAACGCATCTAAACATGTGGAAATTTTTGGGTCCGATTCTTTTCACTAAAAATCTTTCATCCTCGGGAACCGTGTAAACGGGAAGATACTTAACACAAACGAAAACAACAACCGAATGAATCGCGGGTAGATTTGTGATAAAATGTGAGAAGATGTGTGGGACCCCACTTGCGAGTTCAGTGTACACAAGCCCAATTCCGGGAACACGAACAAGGCCCAAACTAGGCCCAAGTCCAAGAATCCAAGCCATTGAGATTTTGCTATGCATTTCAAATTCGTATCTTTTCACTGTTCCATAGTGCCAGATGTACATGATGAAAAGGAAGATTGCTGCTATGACTAGTGGGACCCACCCTCCTTGATCGATCTTGAAGAGGACAGCTGAGAAGTAGGTTAGTTCAATGATGAGAGATAAGGCTGCAAATATGAGGACTAGAAGCCAGTGACATCTCCATACTAGAAGCATGATTAAGATCATGATGAATGTTGTTGCAAGCATCACTATCACCACTGCTGTTCCTGTTGAGATGGAATAGGTGATGTTAGTTGATGTAGATTTATGTAGTTTTGTGAAATATAGGGACTGTTTTTGTAATTTTGTGAAATGAAAGGACCGTTTTTGTAGTTTTTCTATTAGGCAGAGCACAAAACGGAGACCATTTATGTAGTTTTTGGAAAAGGAGGGACCGTTTCTGAAATTTTGTGAAAGAAAAGGACCATTTTGTGAAATAGCCCAGTAAATGTAAGAAAGATAGAATACATGATGTTAATTGATGTAAATTTATGTAGTTTTGTGAAATACAGGGACCAATTCTGTCATTTATGTAAATTTGTGAAACACGGGGACCATTTCTGTAGTTTTGCTATTAGACAGAGACCATTTCTGTAATTTTGTGAAACACAGTGACCGTTTCTGCAACTTTGTGAAAGAAGGGGACCATTTTTTGTCGAATAGCCCAGTAAATGTAAGAAAGATAGAATACATGATGTTAATTGATGAAAATTTATGCAATTTTGTGAAACAAAGAGACCATTTTTGTTATTTCGCTATTAGGCAAGGGGACCATTTAAGTAAATTTGTGAAACTCAAAGACCATTTCAGTAATTGTGTGAAACACAGGGACTGTTTCTAAAACTTTGTGAAAGAAAGGTACCATTTTGTTAAAATGTTAAATAGCCCAGTGAATGTAAGAAAGATAGAATACACGATGTAAATTGATGAAAAATTTTTAGTTTTGTGAAACACAGGGACCATTTCTGAAATAAAAATTGAAAAATAAGCAAAAAAATAAAAATAAAAATAATAGTAATAGTAATTACTGACCATAAGCATTTCCGATTTGGCTTTTATTTTTGAATCCAGCAGTGACAACAATGCAAAGCACCATAAGTATCCAATTGATATCGGGAATATATATTTGACCAAGGAATTTACTCGATGTATGAATCACTTTCACTCTTGGAAAACACCCCAACGCATTCGCCTGCTTTATTATTGAAAATGTTGCAGAAATCGTCGCCTGACTTGCAACAACCGCAGCTAGCGTCGCAATCACAAACATCGGCCAGTAGATACTTTCTACATTTATATATATATATATATATATATATATATATATATATATATATATATATAATTTAATATAATATTCATCAATAAAATTAAAAAATCAATTTGATTTAAATATAATACTCTAATATTTTATAAAATGAACCTGGGATTGAGCGATAAAATGCATCGTATACATGTTCCTTGTTTTTCATGAGGTAGGCGGCTTGTCCAGAGTAGGCTAGAAGAAGACAAGGGAATACGACGACTGTGAATGCCAGCTGGATTGCTGACACGGGAAAATGTGCCAGGTCAGCGAATAGTGCTTCGGTTCCGGTTATGCTAAGCATGATTCCTCCGAGTGAAGTCCAACCGTTTTTTCCTCTTCTTTTGAAGTAGCGGAAGATGTAGACGGGTGAAAATGCCCGTAATACCCCTATGTCGTATTTCCATATGTTGAAAATTCCAATTCCACCGATTAAAAGAAACCAAAGTAAAACAACGGGAGCAAATAGCCATCCGACTTTATCGACACCGTAATGTTGTAAGCTAAATAAGCCGATTAATATCACAACTGCAACAAGTATAACAACATCTGCAACAAAGGAACAAAGAATTGTAAAAAGTAAAAAGTAAAAAGAAAATCAAAATCATGGAAAAAAAGAAACGAGAGATATACCGTTACTCATCCCGGGGTGGTCTATCTTTATGCCACCGGAAGCCGATAAAACTGGTAAAAAAATGGATATTTTGTTAATAAATTTAGATGTATTTTAAAGACAAAATTACAAAAATGGTCCATGTGGTTTGCCAAAAGTAACAAAGTCAATCCCTGCTAATTTTTTTTATGCAGATGGCCCTTGTGGTTTGCAAAACTTGCATAGATGGCCCTTTTTACTAACGCCGTTAAGGACTGAATTAGTAAGAGCATTTTCGTCTTTTCAAGTATAAAGGGGCTAGATTTGCGACTTTGGGTAAAACCACAAGGACCATTTTTGTAATTTGTCTTAAAATGATAGAGAATGAGGGGAGGAGGATTCGAACTTGGGTAAACCACAGGACCGTTTTGTAATTCGGTTAGCTTATTAGCTAGCAGCTAACTTTTTAACTATCAACTAGCTTTTCAGCTATCAACTAGCGAGCCAAACGCAGTGTGTAAAACTTGGGACTTTTTTGGTATTTGTCCTTTTTAAAATTAGATGAGTTTACCTGAAATAGCAGGAGTTAAAATTCCATCTCCTATAGCCATGCAAGTGCCAACTAGGACAAGTAAAAGAAGTGCATTCTTTTTATAAATATTTCCTTCCAACCATCTTCTTGTTTTTGCAGCAAATGACTTCTCATGAATTGTACTTCGGCTATAAGTTGTTAATTCCTCATCCGTTCGATGCTGATTTGGAATTGTATTCACTTTTGCATGTCTACAAAGTAGCGAATACAAAGCAAAAGTCCCACCTACATATAAATAAATCACAATTAGTGTTTGCAATAATAAAATGTCAATCTTTCTTAGTATAATTGTGTAATTACATACACCTCACTTGTTATACATGACAAGACATACATAACAATACAAAATAGTACAATACAGAACAGTACATAACAGTACAGTACAAGAAAATATTGAAAAAGTATGTGACAGTACAATACAAAACAGGACGTGACAATATAGTACAGAACAATATAGAAAAGTATGTGACGGTACAAAACAATACAGAACAGTATAAAACAGGACAGACAGTACATAACAATATAGAAAAGTATGTGACAATACAATAATATAACAGTACAAAACAATACAGAACAGTACAAAACAGGACGGGGTTAACTAAGTGGGACAAAAATTGCAATTATTTGTCCTATCTTAAAAACTGGAATAAGGTAAGAAAAAAGATTCGCACTGAATCTCTTACGAGTGCAAAAGACATGAATACCCTCCTTATCATCTAAAATAGACATGGAAAGCTTGTTGAGTCTTGAAGTGTATAACAAATGAGGGGATAAGGAAGAAAAAATATGTACCTTGACCATTGTCATTTGCACGACACACGATGAAAACGTATTTGATGAGTGGCACAAGGGTAAGAGAGTAAATGATCAAGGAAAGTGCACCAATAATGTCTTCTGTATCATCGATTCCTTTTGGGAAAGTATTGTAAAATACGTATAAAGGAGAAGTTCCTAAATCTCCATAGACAACTCCAAGACTTTGAAATGCAAATCTCAGAAGCAAAATTGCAGAGAACGACTGTGTTCAAGAAAGATTTATGAACTTCATTACTTTACATAAATAATAACATAAAAGATTGAAAGTTGAAACTTTGTCTTTTTTAACTCTTAACAATAGGTCATCATCACATAAAAGATTAAAAAAATCAAGTTTAAAAATAAGAAATTAAGCACACCTCAAATTTTCTTGATTGTTTTAGTCAACCATAATATAAGTTATGATTACATAAACATACAAAAATCACAATCAGGATTTAAATGATTTTAACAATAAATAAATCTCAAAGCCACCAATCAATTACCTTTTCAATAAGTTAATCCCCAATCAAGACAAACAGAGATTGAATTTGGTGAATAGATTACTTTCTTTAAATAAGAAAAAACCCCAATTAAGATGAACACTCACATATAAGGATATAGAATTTGGTGAATGAATTACTTTCTTGAAATATAATAACCGGAATCAAGTAAAACACACATATGTAAAAGATCGATTTTGAAAGTAAAAGAAAAAGACTTTTAAATATAAAAGAACAACATAAACACATCTGAGAAAAAGGGGGAAGAATCAATGAAAACCGATAAACAATTAAACATGAAAGAGATGACCAAAAAGGTAGCAAAAAGTTTACCTTTTCTCTATACATGTTTTTTAATCTACCAGCTTCTTCATCCATGGGCTGATCAATCTTCTGCTCTAAAGCCCACATGCCACCTTTCGACTCATCTTCTTCGCTCATATCGACGTCCATATCAGTCGCCATGCCTAAACCTCAAGCTACATACACTTCCTAAAACCTCTTAGTCTGCTCTAGATTCAATCAAACAGCATCAAGAACTAAAAAGTCGAAAAGAACGACAGTTCACCTGATGTGATTCTCAATCAATCGAATAGAATAACACCCACTAAGACAAACACGATTTTATCACTATCCCAAGTGGGGTCAACTGTTCAACATCAAAATTGAAAAAATTCGTCCAATTTGACAACCCACATACGCAATTCAACAAGGGTTTCGATTATCTTTTAGCTCATTAATTCTAAAGGAATGATTTTTGTGCGTTTATCGAATATCTGTCAGTAGATATCAGCCACATAACCGAAGAGGACAAAGGCCCTACACAGGAACAAAAATACGGGGATGAATGATGGGTATATGACAAAGAAGAACGAAAAGGAGGTTCTGCAGAAACGTGGTTTTTAGTGAAATTGAGGTGAACAATTTTTGTTTTGCTGTTGATCAAGGGAAGCATTTATAAAAAGAGTAAAAGGAATAAAAAGAATAAAAACTCTTGAAGTCGCCCCCATTATTGAGAGAGAGAACACTGAGAAAGAGAGCGATGAGAGAGAAACTTGGTCGCTGTTGCTTTCACTGTTATAAGTTTGCTAACGTCACAGAGGTTTAACTATTCTCCACGATTTTGACTATTTTATACCAAATTAGTAAAATCGTATATATCTTTTGCAAAAATTTTACATTTGGTCTTTATTTTTATTTTTTTATATTTGGACCGTCTTTGTAATTTGTTTTTGTTACGTTTTCGTCTTTGATAAAAATAAAAATATTATTTTGTTTTTGATATCTTTTTTCAAAATTATTTATTTATATAAATAGATTATTTAATAATTTAAAATTTGATCACACCCTCACTGTTCCTAAACCCTATCCCTTATCCCGTGCCCTAACCCATCCCCCTAAACAATCATCATTTCTCTACTTTCTTATCTTCTTCCTCATTCTCAGCTCCAAGACCTCCATTGAAATTGTTCCCTCTCTCTCTCTCCTCTATCTGCCATCGTAGGAACCGTATTTTGAACAAGTCATTATCTCCTTACTCTCCTCTATTTCTTATCAGATTTTATCGATTGATTTTATCATGTTTTTGTTATCATTTTTCTGCAAATCTATATCAACACACAAACCCCCATTAATGCCAATATCGACATAAAAAAAAAAACCAAAATATGGAGAAGCATGTCTAAAGAGAGAAGAAGAAGCAATAGTTGAAGGCGGTGAGAAGTGGATCTACCGGACGGGTACGGGGAGATGGATCAGAAGACAAAGCATCTTCGGCAATGTTTATGGAAGACGAGCCTAAAGACGACGGAGAATCATATCATGAAGAAGAAGAACCGAACAGAACCATCGCAAGTACTGATTCAAGTGGTCTAATGACCTCCTGCTTCAGCTTCTCCTGTAATGGTCGCCAAAGAAGGTAGTGGGTAGAGTGTTTAAGAAGCTGTGAAAAAAGACAGGTGGTTTCGACAGTGGTAGGTGGCTTCCGGCGTTGGTAGGTGGTTGCCAGCGGTGGTGGATGATATTCGGTAGATCAACTCACCTTTCAATCTTACTTTTAATAAAGTGACATCCAATCCAATAATCCTTTTTATAGCCTCTGTTCCATCCATCCTCTAGTGCTTTATAACATATGTAGAATCTATGAAAATAAAATAGTTTCCATCGTGGTTTATAAGAATGCCTACATGCCCAATAGATCTAGGATTAGATCTCCTTATATCATGAGTATAATGCTACAACCTCACATAATGGTTATGTTGTCGTATCTCACCAAGAATACATTAAAAGGGTAAATGATCGTCAACCAAAAGAACCCTGATCAAGGATTATCACCTGGACGAGCGCCAGACACGGGCCATCGCCCAAGAACGCGTACGCATCCCAATATTCCGCTAATTAGGGACAACCCACCAGAAATGAGGCCCATGCCTCCCACTGGACAGAAGAGTACTTCCGGCTCCCACAGAGACAAGGATAGTGCTCTGAATCTCGCCTCCCAAGAACGTTACACCAACAACAAACAACCATGTACAGGGAACATCCCACCAATGAAAAACCTCCATGATCTACAGGACCTGAAAAGGTAAAGGATATTGTCGGGGATCTGTTCCCCCAAACACAGGTATAAAAAGGTTCCTTCTTTCCAAAAGAAGGGACCGATAACCTTCTACTTCTCTCCTCCACTTGAATAGACTAGAGCTCTCTTCTCTCAAAGGAAAAAAACTAACTCGACCGTCGGGGCTTCGTTATAGGAGACCCTCCCGGACGAAGCCTAACGAATTTCTTCTCTTGTACTGTGATCCTCAGGCTTGCTTCTTCAGTCGCCAAAGAAGACGGAGCCAGGTCGAAGACATATCACAACAGTTAGCGTCATCCATTGGACGTGTACTCAGTGCTACAAAACCCGATATACGACATTACATGTCTGTGATAGTGAACGCAAGACCTATCTCATCGTAAAATGACGACACCGACTCCACAAGAGAAGCGCTATCAGCCAACAAACTTGGCCGCTCGACGTCAAGCATGGGGAAGACCTGTGTTGTCACGAAAATTGCATCGAGTACATGACGCTCGTAACTTGCCATTACAGACAACAACATGGCCACATCATAAATACTACAGCAATAGGAAAGAGTGCTCATAATCAACAGACCACACAAGAAGCGTGCACAACACTAGGCAAACCATGATGTAACAGCGCTGACCCGAAAAATCCAAAACATCAACTTCTCATTGGAAGACCCGAGACCTCAAGACTAGAATCCCAAAGACCCACTTCTTATAACCGATTGTATACGTCACAAACAAATCCACCGAGTCGACATAGACAATGGCAACAACACGGACATTCTATACGAACATTGCTTCCGACAACTACCAAAATCCTGGAAGGAGGAGTTAAATCCCCCAGCAGGCAGACCCTTAGTAGGTTTCACAGGACATAGCATGTGGCCTCTCGGAACAATACACCTCCCACTCACGTTAGTCAGCCAAGATGGAAGTGAGAATATGACACAAACCATCGAATTCTCCGTAATACACACTCAACAGAACAAAGCATATTGTTAGGACATCGAACACTCTTCGAGCTGCAAGCCGTGCCGTCGACAATCCACACCATAGTCAAATTTAGCACGCAGTCAGGATCAGCAAATATCGTCACCAGCACCCCGCATAGGCTAACGTGCCACCATATCGCCGTGACACCAAACCTGGTCAGAGCCCCCAATAAGTCCAAAGCATCAGAAAAGCACGTAATACATAGTGGCCACCCCGAACAAGCAATAAAGATCGAGGCCGATCTCTCGGCGGAAACCAAAGCTCAGCTGGTTGCACTCCTAACACGATTCTCTGGGTATTCGTGTGGCAGCCTGTAGATATAAATGGAGTGCACTGAAAGATCATCAGGCACAGTCTAAACATTATATCGGGTAGCGTCCCGATAAAAAAAGGGGGTAGGCAATCGATAGAAATAAGGCAATTAATGACAAGGCTGCGAAGCTCGTGGACGCGGGTATCCTTCGGGAAGCAATATTCACGACATGGATAACAAACCCGATAATGGTAAAGAAACATGACAGCTCATGGCGAATCTACATCGACTATTCCGATCTGAACAACACATGCCCAAAAGACCATTATCCCCTCCCGGAGATAGACTAGAAGGTCGATTTCTTAGAAGGCTTCCAACTTAAATGTTTCCTTGACGCCTACAAAGGCTATCACTAAGTCCATATGTGCCAGGAAGATGAGGAAAAGTTAGCTTTCCGCACTGATCGGGGCACGTTCTATTACCGGAAAATTCCTTTTGGCCTTAAAAAATGTTGGCGCGACATACCAATGCCTGATGGACAAAGACTTCACATAACAAATTGGGAAAAAAGTAGAGGTATATGTCGATGACATGGTCATTAAAAGCCGCAACGAAATAACATTACCCCGAGACATCGAGGAGACCCTCCAGACCCTGGTGCAGGCATAGGCAAAACTTAACCTGGGAAAATGCAAGGTGGAAGAGGGTTGAATCCTAGGCTACCAGATAATCAAAGAGGGGATTGCACCAAACCAGGCCAAGATCCAGGAATTTATCGACTCCATGTCCCCACACAACATAAAAAGGGTTTAGGAAATCAACAAAAGGTTGACAACGCTAGGCAGATTTATAGCCAGATCAGCGGAAAAGGCTCTACCACTTTTTCATACCCTGAAAGGGTGTGCCGAAAAAAACCACTTCACATAGACAAAAGAGGCTGACACGGCCCTCCAACACCTAAAGGAGGCTCTCCGTCAGCTACCAATAATGGCAAGCCCTCTGCCGGGTGAAACTCTACAAGTATACATCGTGAGCACAGTTTGAAGCCAAAAAATCAACATTTAAGTCCTTAATCCATTAAGCTTTAAACTCTAACTTTCAAGAAGGTCTTATAACTCCATAATACACTTGAAAGTCGATGCTTTTAAGACATATATTGTGACAACCCGATATTTCAACTCTTTGTAATGACCTAAAAAGTCAAGTATTGTAGCTACTTTTGAAATAATGAAATTAACTTCGAAGATGAAATATGTAAAAATATTTATAAGAATATCTATTTTGTTAGACATTGTGTCAAGGTTTACATAAATACTAAGAACACTAAAATCCGAGTTACAACGAAGAAGTTATGACCATTCTAAGATTTCCGACAAAACCAACAACACCGATTAAACGGAAAACACGAAGTTTCAATACAATAGCATTTAGACTTAGGTATCTAAATGAAAGTTATAGATAACATTAAACCGTGAGCGTACACAAAAAGAACGTCCAAATCTGACTTCGTATGAGGAAGTTATGATTTTTCCAAGATCCGAATATAGCAGTAGACAGCTAAAAACTCGAAATAGAGCTCAAGAGACTTTTGACCAAAACAACCTAAATGAGAATCGAAGGTCTCAACATTAGTAGCACAACAGCGAAAATTCTGACGAAAACGGACATCGGATGAAGAAGTTATGAATTTTATACGGACTTTTCGTGTCCCGGCCCGTTAAAAATAAATAATTAAAAATAAAGTCAAAATTTGCCGATGAAGTCTAAACGAAAGTTGTAGATCATATTTTCAGCTACGCGTGCATATAAAGAACGTCGAAAATGGAGCTCGTACGCGAAAGTTATGGATTTTACAAGTTCGGGGTCCAAAATCCGAGGCTGTCAGGCCTCCCCACGACGTGGCACTGTTTTGCCGCGACCCGGCAAGTGATTGAGGGCGTCCAATCAATGGAAGAGGATAGACTTGCTCCCCACGACGTGGCCAACCCTAGCCATGACGTGGCACTAAAAAATACCCCCTATAAATAGAACTCTTGGGGTGCCGGGTTTAGGTGCTCCATTCTTCCCTCTCTCGTGCTGAAACTCTGCGGTTAAGCTCCCGAAGCCCCGGTTTTCACACTCAAGTTCCGAAGGAAGGTTCTACTCTCCCGAGATTCCCGAGATTTCCGAGAATCCCGAGAAAATCGACTTTCACAAGCCGAAGTTCTGCTCGATTTTCATCTC